TCTCGCTTAGCCCATTGAGACCTGTCTGATTGTTCTCCCATCTGCTTTGTTCTTCCATTACCCTCTCCCTACTTGTATGTTGCCCCCTCCCTAGCACCCGAACTATCCTGTGTCTAATCCCTGCCCTGTGCTCCAACTTTCCCTCTCTCCCCTCATCCACCCCCAATCTCCCAATAATCAACAAAGAATCCCCCTCATTTGCGAATGATTTTTGGCTCAGCCTCGTATATGCAGTTGCTTTCACACCTTTTAAATCCTGTATATGAATTAAAGTCCCACTCACTGTAGAATAAGCGCAAACTGTGAACCACAGGATCAGCTGCTCTCAGAAACCCTACACAGGGTGTCTCTGACTGGGAACTGACTTAGTGGCACACAACAGGAGCAATGTGTAGTAGATTTCAACACCTTTAAAACATCATGTATACAACTTTAAAGTTCGGATTGCTTCTTTCTATAAACCACTGTAAATATCAGGTTCAGTCCCATCTTTTAAACTCCTTCTTGCCAAATTTTAAAGCTTACTGTTTAAATATAATATTTATATTCTGTAATATGTTAGTGGCTACATCTTTGGCTAGCAACGAGAACTTAATATTTATTTGGCACTGAGGATCTTAGTAGGTCCCTGGGTAGCACAGTAATTTGCGTTCGCCTGGTAACCTCTAGGTTTGAACATAGCCATGTAAGGAAAGCTTGGTGATCTGTTTCCATAAAGATTAAAGATTACAGCCAGGACAGCCCTATGTAACAGTTCTTATCTCTGTAGCATGGAAGTGCCAAATAGTGGAGTCAGCTTAATGGCAGCAGATTTGGCTTTGGGTTGAGGACTTTAGTATGCCACCTCATTTAATCCTCATAGCAACCTTAATGTTGGTACAATTACTTTCCTTGCTTTAGAGGTGAGAGAACTAAAGTTTATGGAAATGGGGTTTCTTTCCCTAGAACAGAGAGCTAATAAGGGGTAGATGTAGAATTTGGAACTGGATTCTGGAAGGAGCCCCAGTGCTGCAGTGGTTAAATGCTCAGTTGTTAACTGCAAGGTCAGTGGTTCAAACCCCCAGCTACTCTGTGGGAGAAAGATGTGGCTGTGTGCTCCTGTAAAGATTACACACTTGTAATCTATGTGTCAGTATGAGTCTGAATAAGCTCCATAACAATAGGCTTTTGATCTTTATTAATCTGATTCTGGGATCTCTGGGTGGTGCAAACAGTTAACATACTTTTAAAAATCAGCCCTTGAGAACCCTATAGAACACAGTTTTACTGTGACACACAAGGGTTGCCATGAGTTGGGATAAACTTGACAGCTACTGGTTTAAATCTTATTTTAGTGTGCAACGTGCAATTGTTTGTTCTTTTCACATTTTATTTGAACTTTATAATTCATGTAAGTAAAATACCTAATGTGTCTAGGAGTTATCACTCAAAAATGATAGTTTTCTTCCTTTGCCTTTTTAAGGCATCTTTGTGAAATTTTAGGTGCATATTTTTGTCACTGTATATATTTAATTTATTAAAATCATAAGTAACAAACATGCTTCATTTTCAGATTTTTTAACTATATCTTTGCAGTTTTATTTAAATGTGGATAAACTTTAGGATCCAAAGAAATTGCACAGTTTTACATAGCTTTGGAAATTTATCAGGTCAGTTGTTTAATGGCTATTTACTACATATAGTAAAATCCTGGAATAATGCAATTTACCATGGTTTTCTTCTTAATATCAGTATTATAAAGGATTTGATTCTATTATGTTTAGAGAAAAATGTTTTTAAATAATTTTAAGCAGTATATTTCATGTAAACATATTTCATCTTTTTTTAAAATAGGTAAATCAACAAACTGGGAAGATGATGGCTGGGGAGCATGGGAAGAAACAGAATCCCAAGAACCTGTAAGTCTTTATGAACATATGCATGCTTTCTCATAGTGGCATTTTCAGAAACTGTTAGAGTCACAGATTCCCTGACCTTCCATTGAGTCTTTGGGCAGTACAGCGGTTAATGTGCTTAACTACTAATACACACTGGGAGCTTTGGTAGCGTAGTGGTTACAATTCGGGCTGCTAACCTCAAGGTTGGCAGTTCGAAACTACCAGCGGTTCTGCTCCCGTAAAGATTTACTGCCTCGGAAACCCTGTGAAGGGTCACTTTGAGTCGGAACTGATTCCACACAACAACAACTAATACACAGAAGCACTACAGAATAAAGGCCTGCCAATCTACTTCCGATAAATCAGTCCCTGAAAAGTCCTAGTTCTCTTCAGATGCACAAGGGGTATTCTTGCAACAGTGGAAGATGATGCAATGATGAAATGATACAAAAATAACATATTTCATTGTTAAATAAACATTTTTAAATCTATGTCACAAACATTTCTTGTCTACTTGTTGTTAAGTGCCATCGACTCAAATTCTGACCCTTAGCAACCCTATATAGGGTTTCCAAGGAGCAACTGGTGAGCTTGAACCGCTGACCTTGCAGTTCAAATGCCTTTGCAGTCTGCCACATTAATCCACAGCGCCACACCAGAACTCTTGTGTCTACTTAGTAGTACTTAAGTCGATACCTGTTCTGAGGGAACGTAATGACTTTATAGCTACAAGGACCCTGTAGGAGCCATGTCTGACTTCCCCTGCCTTTGTTAGGAGGAAAGAGAATCAAACTCAAAATCAGCCCATGACTGATTCCTGTGAAGCAGAGGTCAGACATACTTCCACCCTATAACCTTCTTTACCATATTCTGACACCATCCCTCCCACAGCACTCTCTGCTTCACATCTGGGTTCAATAATCCATTGCAAGGCCACATACAACTCCAACAATACTCACAATTATGGGGTTTTTAAGGGAAGTGAACAGGGTACAATTCAGGATGAAAACAAACTCAGGATGCAGCAGTTCTCCAGTCAGGAATGCCTCTTGTCTGCCATACTGCAGGCATGCCTCACTTGTCTTCGGTCTCTCAGCCATGAGGTCCCTTGGCCTCTGCCTTACTTGAGCAAGTGTTACAAAGTTCTTTTAACCAGTCTGTGAATGCCCAAAGGGTACTATCTTAAAGCCAGTCTGGAGGGCAAAACTAATCCCAGCCTTAGAGTCTTGTATACCTTTTTTGCATGGTCCCACCCAGTCACTGGTAGCGTAGTGGTTACAAATCGGGCTGTGAACCTTAAGGTCAGCAGTTCTAAACTAACAGCTGTCCCGCGGGAGAAAGATGAGGCTTTCTGCTCCTGTAAAGATTTACAGCCTCAGAAACCCTGTACAGGGTCACTGTGAGTCGGTTCGGACTCCACAGCACATAACCACCACCACTACCACCCAGTCACTGGAGTTCTGGTGTGGCGTTGTGGGTTAATGTGCCACAGACTGCAAAGCCATTTGAGCTGCAAGGTTGGTGGTTCAGGCTCACCACCTACTCCTCGGAAACCCTATACAGGGTTGCTATGGGCCAGAACTGACTTGACAGCATTTAACAACAACACCCAGTCACTTGGTGGGAATTAAGTAAACTCTGGATTTACTTAGTTTACTTAAGAAAAGCCATAGCATGCAATTTCAAGGCACTACAGTAACTATAGGGCTAAAGTACATAATCGTTGTTTTAAGATTTTTTCTGTTTCATAAGACATTTTCCTAAATCAGCCATCATATTGTAGGTCTTTTCCTAGGTGATGAGACTATAGTAGTAATCGAGATAGATAAAGTTCCTGTATAGCTTAGTATATTTTTCAGATGAAAGTAAATAGAAAATCTAACCTAAGGTAGTTTAAGTAACAAGGAAATTTATTAGCTCGCATAGAGGAGGAAGTCTAGAGATAGGTAGGGCTCTCACCATGCGATTGATTGGTTTATCAGGTGACTTGATAATGTCATCAAGTACTCTCGTTCTTTCCTTCTGAGTGCTCTGCATCTCCAGTCTTGGCTGCATCCTAAAGCCCATTCTTCTTACAGATGTAGTGTCGTAGCCAGGAGCATTTGAAACAGATTCATTCCTGTACAGAGAGAGAAAAAGATTGGACTTCCCTTAACTTTTATGAGTCAGAAACAACTTTCTAGGAAGTCACAGAAATCTTTTCCTTATATCTCACCATTGCTCATTTCTGAACCAGTCACTGACAAGAGATAAGAGGTTTTCTTTGGCCAGTCATACCTTTCCCTGGGGATAGGAGGGTCAGCTTCTCCTATGACTATGTGGGAAAGGAGTCAATACTTAGATAAAATCAATTTTTATTCTTTTTACAAAGAAAGAAGAGGGGAAATTAATACTGGATTGGTGTTTCTACTTTTGATGTTTGTTTTCTAGAATCATAGCTAAGTGACTGTTGTAATATAATACATGAAATGATTCCGTGTAGTCTTGAATCTATTGCAGAATCAAGTTTTACACTGTGTTGACAGTAGATGTGCTAGAGACTCGCTTTACTGGCCAGTTTCTTAGTAATGACTAGGGAGAGATGAAAACATGAACGAATAATGAGCCCATACAAAACTCTTTTTCCTGCCTGAGAAGGATGAAACAGATTTTTATAGTGAAACAAGTATTCAGATAGCTTTTACATTTACCTTTTGACTCCTAAATAAGTTTGAAGTTTAGTGAATCTGAATCATCCTCATAGACATTGCATGTTAAGAGGGACACCTTGCACTTACAGTAGCAGAGGAGGTGTCAGTGTGATTTGTTGTTGTTGTTGTTAAGTGCCGTGGAGTCGGTTCCGACTCATAGCGACCCTACACAGGGTTTCCGAGGCTGTAAATCTTTACGGGAGCAGACCGCCTCATCTTTCTCCCGCGGACCCGCTGGTAGTTTCGAACTGCTGACCTTGTGGCTCACAGTCAGTGTGATAGTTGTTGTTAAATACCATCGAGTCGGTTCTGACAATAGCAACTCTGCATAGGGTTTCCAAGGAGTGGCTGGTGAGCTTAAACTGCCGACGTTGCGTTCTGACTGTCTTTGCAGATATTGTGCTGTTCCAGCTGATTTTGGATGATGTTGTCAAGGAAAGCATGGTTTTAATGTGTAAGCATTAACTAGCATCCTTTAAGTGTCAAGAATGTGTTGTTGTTGTTGTTGCTGTTAAGTGCTGTCAAGTTGGTTCTGACCCATAGTGACCCTGAACAGGGTTTCTGAGGCTGTAAATCTTTACAGGGATAGAAAGCCTCATCTTTCTCCCGTGTAGCAGCTGGTAGTTTCGAACTGCTGACCTTGTGGTTCATAGCCCGTTTCGTAACTACTACGCTACTTCTTGTTATTGACCCATGGTATCCTAAATCTAGGGATACTATCTTTTAGTGGTTTCAGTTAAAAGTTGCAAGATGCTTCTAGTTATTCTAAAAGCACATAAGGTACCAAACACTGTGGACTGGTAAATTGGAAAAGTGAAACAGTACTGTCCAGTTTCATTGACAGCAATTTTGGGTGTCCCAGGAGCTCTGGTGGAGAGTCAGAGAAAAAGAGGAAGACACCCAGCAAGATGGAGTGGCAGAGTGGCATCAATGGGCTCAAGCATGCCAACAGTTGTGAGGTTGGTCCAGGACCGGGCAGTGTTTCATTCTGTTGTACATAGGGTTGCTATAAGTCGGTATCAGTTCCTTGGCACCTAACAACAACAACAAGGTAACGTAATGGTTACAAGTTGGACTGCTAACTACAAGGTCAACAGTTTGAAACTACCATCTATTCCGTGGGCAAAAGATAAGGCTTTTTGCTCCTGTAAAGATTTATAGCCTCAAAAAACATATGCAGGGTTGCTATGGGTCGGTATCAACTCCACGGCACACCACCACCACCAGTCATTTATGACCATTCTCATCCTCCTTTAAACACTTTGTTATGGCTCACATGCATATGGTGAGGGAAAAGGTATTTGGGTGAACACTGATAATCAGAGGTAATCCGGATATTAAAGTTACTCTGCTGTGTTCAAGAGAGCTTATTTGAAGGAAAAAGAGTAATCTGATATAATTTGATGAATTTGTCCTACAACTATGGATGCAGTAGCTCAAAAGAAGAAACAGATCTTTACAGCAAAGATCATTCCCACCCCCTCCACACACAAGAGTAGACAGGGATGGGCAACTTCGACATTGGCTACCCAAAATGGGGGTGGGAGAGGCTACATAGGCAAGAAGTGACTGGCTTACAAGCTTTCAAGAGGGAACCTAGATCCAGCCTGTGTGAAGGAAGGTAGAATCTCCACTGAGTAGTATACAATCTGTTTAGTTGAGGCTGATGAAAGTAAATGCTGATAGGTGATGCAATAGTGAATGATTTTTGTTAGGACTGATTATGAGGGTTGGAAATATAAAGGTAGACATTTTGTAGCAAGGAGGGGAGCGATTAACTTTTTTCAGTCTAGGAGTGGAGGTCCCTGGGACCATCAAGGGAAAAGAGCAGAGAGTGGGACCCTACCCAGGGAAGCAGTGATGCCTGAGATGGAGGCAGAGATGATGACGTGGAGATATGGAGCAGCTGGATACTTTAGACACAGAAAGGGAGAGGGGCTGTGTGCTGATGACCAGGAGGCAGGCTTGTAGTATATACCCTTTGGTTGGTTGATGATGCATGGAAGGGATTGTCACCATGGCAATGAAACAATATACAATAGGATGAATGTAAAACTAATGTTCTCCCATGTAAACTATCACATAATTCATGATAAAACATATAAAAAAAAAGGAACCTAGATCCAGAGGACATGGAGGAAGGTAGAATCTCCACTGAGTAGTATCCAGTCTATACAGGTGGGGCTGATGAAAGGAAATGCTGATAGGTCTCTTGTGATACAATAGTGAATAATTGTTGTCAGGACTGATTGTGAGGGTTAGAAATGTAAAGGTAGATGTTTTGTAGCAAGGAGGGGAGTGATTAACTTTGCAGTCTAGGAGCAGAGGTCC